AAAGTCATTGTCAAAAAACCTTTTACACAGAGCATTGAGTAATTTGAATAGTGGATTTAGACGGTCACATTGGAGGAATATATGTAAGAGATCGTCTGGATTTCCACAGAATGGACAGTTATTGCTGTCACGATATTTACATGATAGTAGGTAGTTTCCGGTTTGATATGAACCGTGTAGCAGGCGCCATAATAGGTCACCTTCTCTTTTTGATATCGGGAGGATGTAGCAACCTTTGAAGTTAGGTTTGATGGAGGTGGGCAAAGATAGTAGATCCCTCCAAATGGTGTCTATATGATCTGGTAATTTAGAGTAAAATTGTGAAAAAAAATAAAAAAAAAGCAGAGAAAAAATAATAACAATTTTCTGCATGTATCTAATAATTAAAAAAAAAGACTAGAACACACTCAGTAGTATCATGTATGCTGGTATTGTTTAAGGATTTTCAAATTCATTGAATGTTTTACTGTCCATATAAAAGCTGTTTTTAACGTCTCGTACTGGCTAAGACCAGTATGAATGGACATGGACAACCATGCTTTAAAATCTATTTTATTGGCAATGTAGAGAAACTGTTATATTCAGTTTTAGCTGTAATTATCAAAAAGCTTTGAAGATTCAAAAGACTCTGACAAATGTTTACACCTTAAATCTGTATTTTGTTTTCATTGTTATTTGAATCTGCAAAGCTTATTTTCAATAAGATTTTGAATTTTACCTGAGTAAAAATATTGAAAAAGCCAACAGACCCATGACCTGCTATAGATTCCAAACAGGTTTTGCCAGAAACTCTTTCCTCCTCATTTCTACGTACATATTTTTCTTTGCTCACAGAAACTCGAAAATCTAAGAAATCAAAAATAGATGAGCCACAATGGGAAGAAGATGACTCTTCTCTTGGACCTGAAGGTAAGCACTGAGAAATTTTAAAGGAAACAATGAAATGCTGCGTTAAGATGTGATTTGTGAAACTCTACTGTAATTGCATTATTTTACAGAATTTTAATTTTGCCATAGCAAAATCATGTGAATATGTAAAATAACAATAGTACTCTTACTTAAAACCTATTGAAATAATGCTCAAAATACCAAAGTAGTGAAAATAACAGTATTTATAGTATTACCTTTCAAATATTTGTTGACCAGCTTTATAGTTTTCGTATATCTCATGCAATATTGTCTTGAGTATACTATTATGGGATATAAATGTGTCCTGCAATAAATACTGAGCTAATCCAAACTAACATTGTCACAATTTGTGGATATATAACTGGTATCTCAACATTACATTACAATATCCTGCATTTAGAGTACCAGTAAATATATCCTAAAAATTAGAAAGCAATCCTAGTGTTTTATCACCTGTATACAGCGGCCACCTGCCTATAGCGGTAGCAACCAAACAGTCCCTACAAGATTTAGATGTAAAGTACCCTGTATATAGCGGCCACTTGTCTAACGCGGCAGACGGCCAAGTTTCAGCGGCAGCAGTGAATAGTGTCTGACAGAGTACATGTATATATAATTTATACATAGGTGCAACAAGTGATCTGCCAGGTGCTGCTTCAAGAGGAGTCACTGAAGATAAAGTATTAGAAGATGAATTTGGTGCCAAAGACTACAGAGATCAGATGAAATTAAAGACAGATCACAGTTCACGACCTCTATGGCTGGTATGTCACAATTCACGTCAGGTGACTTGTCACCATGAACCTAATATATTTTAAAATCCGGATTTAGTTGATGTATTACCGTATTTATCCGGGTATAAGCCCAGGGTCCTGAACATTCATAGCTGTTTGAAACTTTATTTGTACGTTCATTGTCATCTTCGTCAAACTCAAAACCCTCAAAGTCCAAGTCGGCGTCACTGTAGCCGTTGAACAAAATCCCTACAACTTCTTCCTGAAGTTCGTCGATATCGTCCCACACAATTTGGACTTACTTAGCACTTTTAATCCACAGATTTCGCAGTCTGTCAGCTTGGCACTTTTCATTCATGTTTAATCACAATAAAGAGACAAGAAAAATGGGGTCGCTCTGCTGCGATGGCACACGATTCTTTTGTTTACAGTCTTTACTGATTGGCTAAGAATGACATCACTACTAGTATTTCATCATAAAGGTCAAATCATGACATTGCTTTCTTATCAGACTCGACGCTTATCATTCACGGTGAAAGTTATCATTCAGCAAGTTCTGGCGGTTGGAATGTCTCACTATATGGATATCGCAGTGGGCTTGAAATAGGAAGTTTTTTTTTATCCAACGACAAAAGAATAGTTTTCATGACAGAAATGCAATAGCGGTGATGAAAGATGGTAAAAAAGTTGGCAGTCTTCGGCGTGGCATTGCAAAATTGCTGGCCCCAGTTATGGATTCGCAAGCTGCTACCAAATATTTTATAAAGCCAAAATAACTTGATTTCAACCACTCTTCCAGGTACAGGTTGCTACAATATTGCAACATTGGTTTCATTGTCGACGACGCTAAAGCCGAACAAGTGCGACACTTGCTTCTCGGCTCTCCTTATACGATTTACTTGAATCGTTTCTAAGGAAGCACAAACCAAACGACCGGCCACGACATATTTAAAAAAAAGAACTATCGTTTCTGCTTTAATATATATTTTTATGGACTTACCTATTTTGCTGTCACAGCTATTTCGCGTTCACCCCATGTTTTACGCAATTAACAATTATATTTAAAGAATTTTTATAAGCATCATGACAGACTTCAAGAAAGTCAGCTGTTAATACAACCACAGTCAACGAATAAAAAAGTATTTCTGTATCTATGTTTTCTCCTAGGCACCCAATGGTTATATATTCCTGGAGTCTTTTTCTCCGGTTTATAAACATGCTCGTGATTTCCTTATTGCTATAGCAGAACCAGTGTGCAGACCAAGAAATATACATGAATACAGGTAAAGGCATATCTCAGTGGACATGAAGTCAAAATAATAGTACCCCGGTTGTATGTAGGCCATAGCACTGTGATGTCATTTGTCAACCAACATGTGAGGGTCTTGAAAATGTTGTTTACTGATGAGCACTTAGCTTGCAAGTTGTAAATATAAATAATAACAACAGCAAACAACGCATACCACTATTTTATATTCTGGTGCCAACACCTATATGTAGTTCTTGTCTAACCAGTCTCTATAACTGCATGTGCACAAAAGTAATCAAGTATGTCAGCACATATGACCTGGTCATATGAAAGCCAATTTTATAGATTCGTGCTTTTTCCTCTTGTCCTCTGAACTATTCACCAATTCTGCACATACTTCGTCAAACAAATCAAATGTCATGAAAACATATTTGATGTTTTGCATATTGGACTTATGCAGAATTGTGGTTTTAACTTCTCAAATAATTTGAAATCTGCACATATTGCCCACATTAATCTCTAGCACATGGGAACTTTTTCTAAGCTTTCTTTCTTTTTTTAGATTGACTGCCTACTCATTATATGCTGCTGTATCTGTGGGTCTACAAACTAATGATATTATTGAATATCTGAGAAGACTCAGCAAAACATCTTTACCAGATGGAATTATTGAATTTATTAGAGTAATGTTTTATCATTATACATATATGTTTATACAATGCATATTTTTCTCATATGTTTATTTTATGACATTGTGCTGAACTCTCTTTGTAACCAGCGGTAGTTTGACTGTACATGTAGTTTGATAATACATTGTGGTATTTATCTTATTACATCTCTAATAGGAGTGTACATAAACCAAAAACCAAAAATTGCATATGATATATGCTAGGATCATTAAAATATGACAATATATGCACCTCTGTTAATTACATAAGTGCATGAGCTACTGTGGAATACTTTATTTTCGCTGGAATTAATTTTCGCTGAAAAGGCTTTTTAGGCGTTTTGCTTAGAATTTATTTTCACTGATTTTTGATGAGTTTAATGTGAAATATAGGAAAAAAGTATATTCGCTGGATTTTATTTTCACGGAATCATCCCTTCAGCGAAAATAGTGAAAATAAATTCCAAGCAAAAATAAAGTATTCTACAGTATTATTACTAAGGCAAATATGATAAATTGATATGTGCAGCTTCCTGTGGATTATTTTTATCTTAGCTGGAATTTATTGTTATAACAAAATTATTTTGACTTCCTATATATGCTCTATTAGTCCTGCTTAAATAGAAGACAGAGGTGTGTCTGTAAGTCATATTTTAATAATCCAGTATACAGTATATGTAACTATTGATACATTTGTTTATATTGAACGTGCACTTCTATATCTAATAAAGTAAATATGGTATTTGACATGAATTCAATGTGAAAAAAGTATTTTCACTGCATTTTATGTTTACTCATTCAGTAAAAATTGCAGATGAAAATAAAGTTTTTTAAAGTAGTGGTATTAACCCCTGTCTATTTTATTTTAAAATGATTAAATATAAAAATTGTTTGAATAATAAAATTGATTTCTTGGTCATCATGTGATTTAAATTTTATATAATTTCCTGCTGTATTTTATATAATTAACAGCTGTGCACACTAAGTTATGGGAAGCTTAAACTGGTGCTGAAACATAACAGATACTTTGTGGAAAGCAGGCATCCTGTAAGTATATATATCACTGTGAAATTAATCATTAGATACTTGTTAAAGCCATGTGTCAATTTGGTACTAGCCAGCCAAGTATGGGCAGGAGAATTCTTTGATGTTGAAATTCTCCCCCAATCCCCTTTATCATCTCCTCTATCCATATAGCTGCCAAGATAAACTTTATAGTCAACTTCTCATTTTGAGACAAATTGAGAATTTTTGGATTGACATAAACAAAGTTGTATAATGTATAAGGGCATACAACTTGGATGATGTGCTTAAGATCCATTAAAATAAAAATGCACATTTCTATAAATACCAATGTAAGTGAGTCTTTGAATGAAATGGTTAAGGCAGTCTCAAATGGTGTGTGATTCATTTAAAATTTGGGTTTTCTGGTTACAGGACGTTATCCAGAAATTATTAAAAGATCACGTCATACAAGAATGTAGACTGAGAAGAGATATAAATGATCCAGACCAACCAGAAGCTGAGGGTGATGACTTGATTGTATCTAAGATATCAAGTAAATCTGCATTGCAGGTAATGGAATTATATTACTGGAAAGAAGAAATGTTACTCATCTTAAATTTTCGTAGCTTAGAGTCTATGCACTTTCCAAGCTCTGCAAAACCTTTTTTCACAATACTTTCAAAGAATGCAGTTGTGTGATCGTAAAGTTGATAAATAGAAAATGTCATCAGTGTATAAGCATTGTATCCAGAGATAACATGATTGGAAGAATTCCTGGCATGCTATGATTAGGTTGACTAATGAACACGAGGAATTTTATTTGGCTTGGCTATTGGTAAACCCGCCCATTGTACATCCAACTATGGCTTTGGATGGCTCTTAAGATTATACCTAGGCATTTTAGAAGAGACCTCAGAAAACACCTAGATTAGTGGCTAAAATTTATGCAGCAATTCCCCAAAAAACTTAATAATTACTAGAAATTTGAATCAAACTTGACATCAATAATAATTTTTTTAATGTATGTACCGGTATAACTCAAAATATTGACATCAAAATTTGTCTTGTCTCCGCCAAACTTAGAACTTCTGAACTTAGTGATTAATTTAATTCATGTAAACCTGCCTTGTTCCCGGGAAACTGCCGTGATGTGCCACCTGATGCACTTTCCCATTCAGTTGTTGAATACGTAAATTACTGGATAAAAAATAATTTGAAAATGTATATGCATATTCCAATTTGCATATGCATACTTTAATTTACATAATGTGTAGTTTAATTTGCATATGAAGTATGCATTATTCTGTGGAATTATTCACAATCATTCTAATCATTTCAGTTGAATCAGCCGTCCACATCCTCTACAGAGACCGACTTGCCAGCCAATGCTGAACCACAAAATGGTAACCAGACCAATATTCCAAAAGATATCTTTGATTTTTATGACAAAATTGATGAAGAGGAAGAAGAGAAGGAAGATTTACAAACTGTATCTTTTGAAGTTAAACAGGATTTAATTGAAACTATACAAAAACGGTAAGTTTTATTCATTGTAATTATGATTTGGTTGAAAACTTAATAAGCAGCTGTTTAGCAGTTTGGAGATTTTATTGCTGTTTTAATAACCCTGGTAAACACTAGCATTTGCATTCAGAATAGATAGTATTTCAATTATTTCAAAATAATAAAACTAAAATTACCAATTGAACAAAACAAAAGTTATAAATCATTGATATCACTAAAAACAAATTTTCATATGTACATTTGATATTATTTTTCTTTTCAAAATAGCTGTATAGAACTGGAGTACCCATTGTTAGCAGAATATGATTTCAGAAATGATACTGTAAATCCAGATCTCAAGTAAGTAGGAATAGATAAAATGTGTACTGGTAAAAGTCCACATGCTCTGAAATGTAGACATGGAAATTAAACAGATGCTCTCTCTCTGCCAGTTTTTGAACTGTTATTACACTCCCACACTGACTAGTCTATGAAATTGAAATATGTGAAGACATTAACGATTATCATCATAGAAATTATGTTTTTGTAGTACTTTTGTTTTCAGATTAGTGCACATTGTATTGTGTAATTTTGCAGATGACAAATATTGTGTGCAGAAACCAGGATCTCCCTCGCAAATTGTAGTACTGTGCCCTCATAACTCACATTGTGATATGGTTTGGTTAATGTTTGGGAGTTTATGTGCATAGCGCCCTCAGTGTTCAGGAGATGTTTTCCTCTACGTCTTCACTAGATCTTCTCAAAATTATATTATATGCCATGGAATACTGATCTGCTTTATCAATACATTGCTTTTCAGCATTGATTTGAAACCAATGACTGTACTGAGACCATATCAAGAGAAAAGTTTGCGTAAGATGTTTGGAAATGGCAGAGCTAGATCAGGTGTTATTGTTCTACCATGTGGTAAGTTGTCTTTCATTAGTGTTTGTTGATTTGCAGAAAGTGATCACCATGCCATTAACAGTACAGATATCAGTCAGTTGTAAATAAAGACTCCATTTTGAATGTGCGTGATTACCAACTTGCCATTAACATATTATTACTAAAAGTGAAATAATAATAATAATTCCAAGACATTACCGTTAAATCATTCATGTTACATGTTAATTTCAACATGTTACAACATTATTTATATAAAACATGTTTACACAGCTAGTCAAGTGCTGTATCAATGAACTGTGTCTATTCACTACGTTCAATTACCCACCATAGACTCCGGTCAGTCAAAATGACTATTTTGAACTGTAGGCATTAATCAAGCGATTCTGCCAATG